CTGCGGACAATGCCCGTTGCCCGGGTTGAATTTTCCAAATTCCCAAATGCAGCTCAATGCTTTGTGGCAACCGTTAGCACTACCACAGCTCGAATCAGCAATCAACGGCGCTGCAACCTAACCATGTGGATTCTTATAAGAAAAAGACAATCGAATTGCTTTTAGAGTTACTTTCATTTGTAAAATTTCATCTGTACTGGCAAGACAAGTGGGCTAAAAACTAAACTAACTTATCGATTATTGCAAACGATATGAGTGAGAACTTGCTCAGTGTTCTAAAATTTAGTGCCTGGCCTCTCAAAGACAAAACAATAAGTAATTCAGTTCGGCCGACATCGAAAGTTTACGTCACAATGAATGTCGATCATTTAGCTTGAATCACAAAACACTTCTAAAATAATAAATCGATTTTGCAGATGTTTAAAATTCAAATTCAAACCAGTTATTAATAGAAAAATCGTCTATGTGCATTTGTCGGGATCACATGAGTTTTTTTGGATTCATCAAATCAAATATGTGACCGAACCGATCGTCAATCACCAGAAAAATTGAGCAACGAAACAATTTGACCTTTTTTGGGAAATTTGTAAGTCGAATAACAAAGATTTTTTCAAATGTAACTACAAAATGAGCTTCTGCTCAAATATTAGGTTAATGAAAATAATGCGAATTTTTTGACCCGAATCTTTGTTTCAAAAGCAACAACAACGAAAGAAGATTATTATAAAAGGTATTATCTATTTTTATTTAGGAAATCATGCAATCTTTTACTCAATTCAATAATTCCATCTTCAAAGAACTGAACCTTTTTAACGAAAAATAGTTGGTGACCGCATCTTCGACTTCTTGGTAATCCTCGAACAGCTGATCGGAGATGAACTGCTTTAAAGACCTGAATAAGTGGTAGTCTGATGGGATCAAATCAGGGCTGTATGGGGCTGTAGAAGTTTCCAATCCATCTCTTCGATTTGTTGGAGGGTTATCTTTGCCGTATACAGTTTTGCATTATCATGCTATGGATTTTTGAAGTGTCATGTCGAGATTTCGATAAAACTTGATTCACAAGCTCTAACTGCTCACTGTAAAGTTCAGCTGTGACAGTTTTACCCGGTTTGAGCAGTTCAAAATAAAACAATTCACGATAGTTTCACCATATGCACAACATCAACTTCTTTCCATGCAGTTCAGGTTTTGACGTGACAACCGGGGCTTGATTTGGTGATAGCCATTGGTGCTTGCGCTTAAAGGGGGTGGGGGGACACATCAGCGCGAAATAAGGCAAAAAAACATTCTCTATCAGAATTTCACGTTAGAGTCTGATGCAGAAAGTTGTGCTGAATCGAATCGTGAAGAAATTATCGAAATCCGTCTGACTCGATTTTTTTAAATCGCCTCAAAACCGATAACTTTTGTGATTTTTTAAAATCGCGTTTTATCGAAAAAATTGCACTTTTACAAGCAACTCGCTCGCAGCGACCAACTTTCGGCGGCTCGTTTTTAGCGTGGTCGAAAGATTGTGCCCTAACTTTTGTGTGGACGTTTATAAAGATCATTTTGATACCAAAAAAATAAAAATTTATCAACTCTGCGAAGAGTTGATGCCTTTTTAGGTTCAAAATGACGCTTTGCGACTTTCTGCCCCTATTTAAAGCAGCCAGACATTTATATTACTCTATTTGTGTTTGTCCTTTTTGCCAGAGGCTTTTAACTTATATTTAACTTATCTCTGTTTAAATTGTTGATAAACAAACTCTTAGTAAGCCTTTTGATAGGTTCAGTATATTTCTTGTTCACAAAGAGACGGTTAATCAACAACTACCAGCAGTCATTTTTTAGCTTTTTGAGTAATTCGTTTCTTATTTCAGAAAGTTTATCATTTCTTGAGCTTAACAGTAGTATTTTCATTTCAGGTTTGACAGCGATGCCACAGGCAAGTAAACGCAAAAGTGCATCTATGAAGAGAATAACAGATTTAAAAAGAAAAAAAGAGCAAGCAACTTTGAATCAGGCAAAAATGTTGATTGTTAGAAGAGGAAAGGTAGAGAAAGGAAGAATCACTGCAGAGATGCAACGAAATCGAAAGGAAATCCTTAAAGCTGCTCGGAAATTTAGAGGTAAAAATCACAGAAAAAGAATGAGAAGAAATGTTGTTTGTCTATCGCTCTCTCCGTTACAAACCCTTGCACTTTACTCAAAATCTAAAAATCTATCTAAAAAAATCTAAAGTATCGCGTGACGCTCATCGAATTTACAGCCATGAGACTCGAACTCTTGCAACGGAGTATCGTACACTCTGTCAAAAAATTTTAGACGCACCCTGTTTTTTGCTAGTTTAGAGCCCGATATAAGTGCTAGTCCAGTGAAAAGTATTTTTTAGTTTCTTGAATGTAAAAAAACAACCCATGCAAAATTTCAAGTCATTTCACTCATCCAAAGTACTTTATCGTACAAAAAACGTTTTAACAGCTGTCAAAAAATTATAGACGCACTTTTCTTTATCAAGAAAAAGTTAACAGAAATAAAAATAACAACACAAACCAAATAAATTAATAATGCGTGGCCCCCCCCTTGCTTTAGTCCAACTTCAAAAAGACGTCTCGGCATCGAAGAGAAAGGGTCATGGAGCGCTGTTGATTGCAGCCGATTCCAGGCTACTTGAATGGCTTTCTTGAGCTCATTCACGCTCGAATATTGCTTCTTTCCCTTGTAGACACCTCGAAGGAGTGTCCCCCACAAATTCTCAATCGGGTTCAAGTCTGGGCTGCCACGGGCCAAGCGACAGTGCCGATTTTGTGCGCTGTTAGCCAATCTCTTGTGGAGCAACTTGCATGAATACTCGCGTTATCGTGCATAAAAGTAAAGTTATTGCCCGGATTGTTGTTCAGATAGACGGCTAGATGTTTGTCGAACACTTGTTGATAGTCAAGCGATGTCATCCGGGTCGAAATAAACTCTGAGCCGACCAGCTCACCGTCTCGAAAGTCTCCCCATACCATACATGATCCACCTCCAAAGTTCCTCGTGCTAAAGACCATGCCCGGCTTTCGTGAATCCTTCCAATAACCTCGAAAACCATCAGCACGATCAAGGTTGAACTTCTTTTCGTCACTCCAAATGATCTAAACATAAAATATATAAGAAATACTAGTAAACCAACTCCCTCCCATTTGGTCTTCTGGCTCTTTTGAGCGAAATCGATACGGGCGGCTTTATGGTCCTTTGTAAGTCGTGGAGCTTGCTTCATGAGTTTGTATTTGAGTATTGAAGATCGTTTGACAACATTGTGCACAGTTTGGCGAGTGACCGGAAACTTCATCTCCTTGCGAACCTCTTCATGTGATGTCGTCGTGTTGGAAAGATGTCTCGTAATTGCGCGTTCGTCTTGATCGGTCAAATTTCTCTTCCAGCTCCGTATTTCTTTCTTCTTAGGAGTCACTTTGGTCTTGAGATATGTACGAAGACACTATGAAAAAAAAAAAAAAAAAAAAAAAAAAAAAAAAAAAAAAAAATAAAAAAAAAAAAAAAAAAAAAAAAAAAAAAAAAAAAAAAAAAAAAAAAAAAAAAAAAGTTAAAAATTTATAAAAATTTTTTTTAAAAAATAATTTAGGGGAAAAAAAAAATAAAAATATAAAAAATTTTTTTTAAAAAAAAAAAATAAAAAAATTAAAAAGGGGGGGTCTCAGTTTCATGGCTTCTGCCATGAAACATGAAACATAAAAAATAAAAATTCGCCTTATTTTCCTGCCAACCTAATAAGATGTGAGCAAACAAGGAAGCTCAACATCCGTTCTCAAGATTATAAATCGAAAAATTCAAATCTCGAATTTGTTTTTTTGCGCAGTCAGCAAAATCATGATCACAACTTTAAAAGCTTTTCCAAAAGTAACTTGTATTGCTCTTTTAAAGCTCGAAATTTACTTTCGTATTTTTCCCGCCATTAGCCCAAATATCTATACACAAACTGAGGTTTTCTAACACCTTTTGATTCTTATTCAACGACCGTAATCTAACAGACGCAATCATTCAACGATGTATCTAGAGCCATGAAATCTTTTTTAGCAGATCTATTGTCTTAACGACGGGGAAAGATAGGGGTGATGCAAATTAGCATTTATCTTTTAGAGTAGCCTGGAACTATACCTTCCGTAAAGACTGGCTCAACGATGAGTAGTTGATTTAGTCTATAAACCTATAAAATAATAAAACTTTAACAAACTTTAGACTTTTGTTTACGTGTCAAAGTCAACCTCATCAGCTCAGTGTACTTTTTCTACTCATCGATTTTCATCGAAATCAAAAACCGATCAAAATCCAAAAGTGATCAGTCTAGGCAAAGAGCACAGAAAAAATGACCCCATTGTAAAGACGCAGCAATGAATCTGCGTTTGAATTTGAGTTGTTTGTCATTTTGTCTCATTCAACTTGTTTGCCACGATTGGTCCCGGTGATCAGCTAACAGTTTTCCCGAGCAACGGGCATTGTCCGCAGAAAAAAATTTCACACACAAAAAGCAATTCAATTTCGCAAAAAGTTTTCAATAAGTTTTGTGGGTTTTTCGGATGACGACAGTTTGCCCGTATTGTTCTCCTCGCGTTGGATGAATAGCGGTCGGGCGGGAGTTGTAACAAAATTAAAATTTCCATATAAATACAGGTGCGGCCAGTCGGAATAGGTCACATTTCGTGCAGTTCAGCAATTCGACATTCAGCGTTTTTCCAGACTTTCCAGACGTTTTCAGCGTCTCTTTTTGAATACCGTAGTCATGTCATCGAAAGCTATCTATCAATTGCTGTTTAAGTTCATAGACTTACACATAAATATATGTTAGCTAGCTGCTACCTATTCAGATTTCACAAAATTTGACCAAGTCCAACTCGTACCGTACTCAAAAAGTTCCTGTACGGTCTTACTGTACTCTTAAAGCTTAATTTATCATTTAAATTGCTTATATAATGTTTTTGACAGCTAAATTCACTCTAGAATTCATTTTTCAGGTAATAATGAGGCTACTAAGTTTAGCATGCCTTTTGGGCTTGTCCCTCACTGCCGTCTTCGGGGTGAGTTTTGATTGAACGAATCCAATCTAATCAGACACTCCTTCATTTGTAAAATTGTCTAGATAACAGATTCCTATCTGAAAAGTACTAACAGATTACTAGATATCCTTTTCCTTTATGCCATTTTCAGTGTGGCTACGGTAAAGGCGACTACTCGTCGACTTTCATCGAACATGTGTCGGTGATTTTCTCGATTGAGACCGCCTATTGGACAATCTCCTATGTAAGTGGCATTTTAAAATTTCATACACTTAGTTTGTTGGAAACTTGGCACCAGAAAGACGACTTTTCCAGGAATACGATGTGTGGTACAACGGCTCATCGACCACCGATCAAAACAACGAGACGTTGACCGCCGCCTACTTCATCACTCTGCTCGAGAGCTACGAAAAGGTTGAAGAAAAGAATCAAAGCCTTAACAGGACTTCATTGCTGTTTTCGAATCGTTTCTATATTTAGGGAGAGTTGACGCTCGTGACCACGGAGCCCACCTACGGCTACATCAACTATTTGTACGGTATGTCGTGGATCTTCTACGGACTCCAATACACGGATACTTTCTACATCGACATGGTCACTCAATACACGGATTCTTGCGGATATGACACCTTCACCTACACGGGCACCACCCCGGCACCAACTCCACCAGCCACATTGGAGGACTCGCAAAAGGTGGAGATTGGAAATGGCAAAATTCGAACCCTGAAATTTCGATGAGTTTTGTCTTTTCAGGAAAAAGCCAAGAAGGTGTTCGCGTGCTACGAGTACCAAGGATATACCTGGGAATCGGAAGTGTGGAACCAGGTTGGTTGTTTTGGAAGATTGTTCTCAAGATGCGCTTTGTCAGACGGACTCGTGCTGGACTCAATTCGTCACCACCGGAATGAGCCAAGGCGCCATCGATCAGACGAACACGCAATGCGTCCAACTCGGTCTCTACTACTCGATGTACCCGGAAATGCTCGTGCCTGGGGTGAGTGTTGTAAAGCTACTGCAGCTATTAAAGTGGATGTTCTTGGGGCTATTGCAGCTAAGACTCTTCAGCTAAAGATATGCTTTGAGATTTCTATAGTGACAATCGTCTTTTCAGTGCTCACCCGACATGAGCGTCACTTGCTCTGTGGAACAATACTACGAAGTTATCGGCTACATCTTCTCCACCGAAGAGACTCGTATCAGCTTTGCCACCGCTTTCTACAACTATTTCTACAGTTGCCCCGGCGCCCCCAAGGAGATTCAATGGAGTAAAGTGATCAAGGACGTGAGTGTCGAGATTTTTGGCAAAAAATCCTTAACAACACTTTCAGTCATGCATCATCAAGGGCGGAGATGTCTCCATCGTTGCCACAAGTGGTGAATGCGGTGGAATGGAGATGGTCGAGCCGTGCGTCGAGATGATCTACCAGCTTATCGATCAACAGAACGAGGTTTAGCTTTGGATGGCTTGAGAAACTTTTCCAAATTTAGCAAGTCATGTGGTTCATCACAATCTACATGAAGAACATCCTCAACATTTCCCCAATCACCAGCACCGTGACATTGACCGAAAACGTGCAGATGTACACCTACATGATGGAACAAATCGCCACGTCGGGTGGTTTCATCTCGTGGACCGTCTACGTTGAGGTAGAGAGAGTTTGACACGCTTTGACATGGCTGGCTTTCTTCATTACCCTATAAACATTACCCTCTAAATCATTACCCTCTAAATCATTACCCTTAACAAAAATAGCTGCTAATTTAGTTCTTCGCCAGATGGGAAGCGTTCTGCGGAACAAAGGTGACCGTGACCTGGATCGAGGTCGAGATCTGGATCACCGAATTCTTCAACGTTTGCTGCCACTGGACCCTCCCGTACACGGTAGCTTTTATCTAGTTTATTCAAACAGCAATGTGCTTGAGTTCCCAATTTTAGACTCCAGCACCCACCATGATCACCGAGGTTTCCACGATGGTCACCGAGGAAGTCACCGGATTTTCAACTGGAGAGACGGCCATGTCAACTGGTGAGACTGGCTTCACGACTGGAGAGACTGGCTTCACGACTGGAGAGACGGCCATGTCAACTGGTGAGACTGGCTTCACGACTGGAGAGACTGGCTTCACGACCGGAGTTCCAACGGAGGCCACATGTGTGATCTCTACTCCCGAGGAGGAGTGCGCCTACATTATTGTTTGTGATTCTTAACTGTACTTGAGGTCATTTTTATTCAGTCGTACTTCCGTTTCATCGGCTTCCTCTACGTGAACAAGACGTGGAGAGACTCGCTCAACACTAAGTGCCGTGGCCACAAGGTGGGAATATGGATGAGTTTTTCGTTTTGAATCGAAAGCCCATTTTCAGGAAAAAGTTCTTACAATGATCTTTTACCATTCTAGACTATAGACAGCAATGCTTTAAAACTAGAAGCTCTCCAAACGCTCATTTCAGGAGAAGCACCCACATTCGAGCAACAAGGACAAGGCTAAGCACTTTGTGAAATCCACGCACGAGTGTGCGCGCGATTTGGGCACTTGCGGAGGACCCGACTGCGTCCCACCAGCCGAGTTGGCTTCCACCTATGAGCCAGTCATTGAAGAAGGCCCACAACCACCAGCGGGAGAGGACAGCTGGGAGTTCTTTGTCAACTTCGCCATCGAAGTCTGGCTCGTCGGCGACTACACGATTCTCAATGAATGCGCGTGCGCGATGGCCGAGTATTCGAGCTCTTTCCCCACCGGTGACGATTTCAGCCATCAAACTGGAGACGGAGACGAGCCAACTGTTGCCCCGACTTGTGATGAGGTAAAGGGTATTTGGTTTTTCATTGCAAAATGACGGTTTAGATCAAATCCAACACCGGAATCTTCATCTTCTTCCAATTCATCGCGGTTGAGTGCGGTTTCCAGGACTCCTTCTTCTGGGTTCAGGTGAATGAGTTAAAACTAAATGACTTTAAAGTCAAGTTATTGTTTTGACCATCACTACCCGAGATTCTTAACTAATAACTATGCTATTTAGTGGATCCTCAAGTTCAAGGCGATCTTCTTCTCACTCGACTGGGATTGCGGATGCTGGGGAGAGTTCATCTGGAGTGAGTTTATGCAGTAAAATTTGTACAACTTAAAAATCGATTTGTAACTTGTGGTTGATCGTAGTATCGAGAACAAATGAAATATCTAGCCTGGTCAATCGACTGGATCGAGCTCATCTACACTTTCTTGGAGGCAATGTGCTGCGGATGCACTCCAACCGAGATGCCCATCGTAAGTGAACCGCAAAAAAGTTTTGAAAGATTCACCTAACTCTAGAATTCCTGACAAAATTCTGAAACTTTCAGCCAACACCCCAAAAATCGGTCGGCACTTGGGACATCTTCCGTTTCTTCGTCTCCTTCTGCAGTAATGTCGAATACCGTGAGACGTTCGAGTGCTTCATGTCATGGTACTTTGAGGTAAGCGGGAAGAAATGAAAGTGGCAGGATTGATGGTGGCATAGATCTAAAATTAGACTTTTTAGCTCAATGGCTACGTCACGTTCGAGACAATGACTTTCACCGAAGTCTACGAGTGCATGTCGATCTTCATTGACTACATGATCATCGTTGTTGATGTAAGAGATAGGAACTACAAGGGGAAAGAGAAGGAAATACCCGGCTCTTCACAGGAGCAATACTTGTATCTTGAATGCAAATGTAGTATGACGAAATTTCCCCGTTCCAGCACCCGGACACCCCGAAGAAACCCAAGGGCTCCCTCACAATCACCTATGACGAGTTCATGTACACTTGCATGTATTGGGTGAGCTTCAAGGGTGACGACAAGATGTGCAACCTGTTCGATGAGAAATACGAAAAGGTGAGGAGAAGATTGGGACTATAGAAACGAAGCCGCTTTAGTGCAAGGACAAAGCCTCAGGCGAGAGCCACGAGAAATCGAACAGCCACGAGGTGCCATCAGAGCCCGGATCAGTGAGTTACAATCGAGTAAAAAGTCATAGAATTTCTAGGATATGTGCGAGTTCGTCATCAAGTACATGGCCATTTGCCACGGAGTGTGGGGAACGAGCGCGTGGAGCGAGGTGAATTAGCTTATTACTGTACCGTAGCTAGTGCTAGTACAGTTCTAAGGCTAGTGTTCGAGATTAGAATCCTCTACATCTTGCATCTACATTACAGTACTACAGTCTGGCATGAAAAGTAATGCTTAAGTTTTATTGCTACTTATTTTATTGGATGGTTTCTTTCTGGCTTGAAAGCACTTGCAGAGACTTTGATAAAGTTATGTTTGAGAATAAGACAAAAACTTTCAATGTGATTGCTATTTCCCTTTTTCAGTACTGGGTCAGCTGGTCGAGCGGCTGGGAGGTTGCCTCATCGCAAGGGACTTCAAAGGAACAATGGGTGCAAGAGCAGATGCTCTGTGACAACGCGATTCAAATGATCTGCGAATGGGTAAGGGGACTAGTTAAAGCTAAAGAAGATAGTGAAAATCAGCCAATCAATCAATACTTTCATGACGATTCCATCAAAATCCTGTTTCAGGAAGGTCCATGGGCCACCGAGGAACCCTCGACCGTGGCTCCATAAACGGGATGTTTCATCTACGGGAGTTAGCCTCAATTTTACTGTCATTTACTGTCCATCGAATAAATTGCAATTGTGAATTACCATTGTTTCGTTTACAAATCTCAAGAACAAGGACAAAAACAATACACTTTTGAGCGCAAAAGGATTGTAAATTATTCAACAAAACCATTGTTTTCATGTTTTTCCTAAAACGTCTCATTTTTCTCAAAAATCTACGAAATCGGTCTCTCTATGGTTCCTCGAAAGGCCATTATCTCGTTTTTCAACTTGGTAAAATGGTTTGAAATTTCAAAATTGAAGATTAAGTCAACTCCGGCTAAGTTTAGCCTGAATACCAACTTTGGCCTGGCTTGGCTTGATTTAACCTGAAAATTAGCCAGCACTGACTGCTTCTTTACATTTCACCCTATCGTTTAGGTGCTTTTAATTGCTCTGCTAATCTTCTGTCTATTGTATCTCAAATTGCCGTCAACGGGCCCGTTCCAATTGACGCTGGCTACAAGCTTTGCCACGCGATTCGCGATCGGCATTGAGAAGACCATGCTCGTAAACTCCACAAAAGCTTCTCCTTCAAAACCAACAACTCACAACAACGCGAAACTCTCTAAAAGGCGATGATCTGTTTGTGTGGAACGCTTTCATGGACTATCGGTAGGTGTCAATAAACTTTTTAAAACGGAATCGATTTCTTTTTTAATTAAACCAGGTACAATAAGCGTTACGATATGTCAGCTCCGAAATTAGTCGATTTTTTTACACCTTTGCCAGTTTTATTTTTCATTTTGCTGAATTTTTTCATTTCATTTTGCTCAGTACCAATGCAATTCATGTTATTGATTGCACTTTACGTGAAACGAACTGAATATATTCATTATTTTTACGATTGATCTCATTTTAACTTTCTAAAAAGGGAACTTACAATTAGAGGCGTGTCCATTGGATTACCAAAAGCTGGTGCTAGCCTAGAGAATCCCACCCAAAAATTAGCGTTGGGTTGACTTGACCTGGCGCACAAAAAGTAAGACTAGTGATACAGCAGGTCAACTTGTTTCTGGCTTACTGCTGGCCTGATCTATAGTTAGTCTGGTTTGGCGAATGGCTAGAGAATGGCCAACTAGAAGTTAGGATCGGGTCAGCTCTAGGATCAGATCCGGCTTGCAACCTAGGATGTGATTGAAAGTTTCCTGCTAGCTTTTCCAGGCCTGGCTGGCTTTTAGTTCATTGTTTACATGTACTATATATAGAATACTGGGATTTAAAAACGGAAAGCAGTTGTTCGATTTAAAAAGCGAAAATTCTGATTCCTGCTTGCAATAAACTACAGTTCCGGGTCTCAATTCGTGCAAAATCCCATTCAAATGAGACCAAAAAGTTTAACACACAAAAACCGTCAATAATGTCTCTGACTCTGGCTCACTAAAGGAGAAATTTTTGCAAAATTTGCACGGTGACATCAAATATTTAATTGATTTCACTCTTTTCATAAAACGTGAACTTTTTGAATATTCAGGTCACAGGACTCGCCACGAATCCGCGTGAATTTATTGGGAAATTGCGAAAGGTTGAAGAGTCGCTTTATTGACGAAATTTTGATTTATGTTGACGATCGGGCGATTCCCATCCATTGGATTGTACCAACAACGCGTGGGGTTTTGAATTTTTTTAGGAATTTTTTGAGGGATTGGAAAATTGCATCCATAACATCCGTAAATTGTAAAATTAGAATGTTTAGCTTGCCCAAGCAAGTGCAAGTACACCTCAATCGATATCACGACGAGAAAGTACCAATATTTCAACGATGTTAAAGAAGTACGAGATTTCGAGGAATCATGCAAAGCTCGAGAATTGTTAATCCAAAAAAACTCAATTAAGATAACGGTGAAAAAATGGCGACGCGGCTATGTGAACGCAAAAATTGGAGTGAGGAAAATGTTTGGACCGGAAGCTCAAGAAAATGGGATCACCTCTTGTTTGAAGCCATTGCTTTGGTGAGAAACGTAATCACTTTGGACCTTTGTGTTGACTTTCTTCTTTAGAATTGGTTCTTTAGAACGAAGAGCAATGGGTTGTTTAGATCTTTGTGTTTACTAGATAGACAGTTTACATTCATACAATCGTTTGCTTAGGTTCAACGATTGGCGCCGTTTGCTTCTCTATTTTGAGTTGGCACGGGGAATCGGGTACACAAGATTTCTGATAGCATGGAATTTTGTATCGAGTGACGTGAAGAAAGTGATCGATCATTACAGAAATTTGGTGAGTTTTGAGAGGAGATTGGCTTTCACTGAGCTTTACAAAAAGACTTTTATAAACTCGTAGAGGTTCGGTATTCAGACTTCACCTTTCTTCCGTAAAAATAGAAATGAAAGCACTGAAGTTTGCGTTTAAGCCTAAGACTTTTAAACATCATCAGAGCTTTTTGGTTAATTTCAGAGTCTTGTCGATATCCCGTATCCAATCACGGCAAACGATCCACAGGTAAAAAAAGCTTTGCTCAAAAATCCGTAGCTCTCTAGCTTGCTTTCAATCCTCTCATCGGGAACACAATGGAAAATCTTTGGGCTCAAAGTTGCTCGTATTTATCTCAAACGAAATACACATCTTACAATGATTTCGATGAGATTTTCTATGTCAAGTGAGAGTTTTCGATTGAAACTAACAGAAAATTTAGAAAAAACATATCATTGTTCGATTTATTAGAGTACCAAAGTGAGAGAGATGTCACAGCTGGTAAAATAACAGAAAAATGAGTTGAGCACATAGATTTTAGGCGCTTTTGTGTTCGCTCGCTTTGGATTTGCGTTTGAATCGAAAATTCGCGAAAAATCGTTTTCGGAAGCAGTCAACGGATTGAAAAAAGGGCAACTTTTTGAGAATCCTGGGATAAAAAGAGTGGGTAAACTTGAAAATCTTGTCCCTACTTTGTGCTTTTGAAAGACGCAAGCCCTCTGGCATACTGGAAATGCAAAAGGGCTTTCGGACAAATGAACCAAAGGCACTAGGGAGCGTGCGTTCGCTCGAGCACAAAGTACGGTTCGAGTGTTGTCTTGATATGCTCTTAAAAGCCAATTAGATTCAAAAGCCACTTCAAAATTTGTAGATGATCTACGCAAATGAATTCGTTCGTGAGGTTTCCTCAACCGATGTCACAAAGTTTTTCTTGAATAAGAAGATGAGATCGGTATTTTGAAGGATACTTTGAGAAATTGTGAATAAATGTAGATGAATTCGAAGGATGCCATTTATCTCAAGATCAACTACGAGAAAGATTCTGGAAACGATTCTCTTCTGCCGAATATTCCCTTGATTGAAAAGGTTCATCGATTAGAGACAATTCTAAGAAAATTTTAGGATCCTGAGCTAATCAATCGAATCCGAGATCGAGTGAAAGAGATTTTCGGAGACAAAACTCCAGACTATGATAGAACGATTCTTGAACGATATAGTCTTTGTTCAAAGGAGTAAGTTTCATAATAAAGTATGCTCCTGTTTGTTGAAAAGTTACCGTAATCTGTAGTCTAAAATAGTAAAATAGAACAAATAATTGGTCTTAAAATTTCAGTGATAAGACCTGTGAGTCACCCATTGGACGATGTGTATCGGAGCTGGAAAATGCCGAGAAATGGATTCAAAATGACGCGCCGGCTTGGGATAAACTCTATGTTTTGTGAAGATAAAAATTTCGTCAACATTCCAAGACTAATTATGGTTTAAATTGCAAGATATTGTTATTGGTAATTAAATCGAAACAAATATATTGGGCTTTTCTAATCAATTATGACATCTGCTTTGATGTCCAGGGTGATTAAGCCACAAACTCACACATAACTCTTTTTTATATGGACTTCAAATGAATAAGATTAAAGTGAGAAAGTCTAGATAATGAACTTTAGTTGATTTTCGAGGTGATCTAACCAGGAAACATTCCTAGGGTTACCTTGGCTGCTTGGGATGAGAGAGGTACCATTCAACAGGTCAAAAGATGCAGATTCCGGATCTGTACTTTAAGTACTAAACGTCAAACATCAGCCATTTAGCTTTGAGCTTTAAAATGAAGATTCTTGGTTGCACATTTCAAGGCGGGTTGCGAATTGATCTCTGGTGAGAGAGTGGGGAACACAACGAGCACAGCACAAAGACTAGAAATGGGAAATGGGGAGTATGGATTGATAAGCACAACTAGGCAAAACAGAAAAACTTTTCAATATTTTCTCAAACACTTAACGAAATGCCAAATTGCGGTCAGTTGTTTAAAGTTAATGTAAGAGTTTGCAAAAAGTCACATACCGTAAATACTTCGCCATTCCCATAATGACAGGCGTACAATCGCGTAGTCTAACTTTGAACGTTCCATTCTCCGCGCTGCTTTATGTTACAGTGTTCTACATGATGTCAAATAATAACCCTTGAAATCTAGTATTTTTGGTATTAAAAGTGTAGCTGGGAAAAGTCTAGGAACTGAGAAAAGAATGATTTTCTAAGAAGAAGTTAGAGGGAGGATTGTACGAGGAGGTGGGGTTCGATTAACGTATTTACGGTATGAAAATTGCTTTTATTTCTTATTTAGGTTGTCTTGAGGGTGGTCCGTGCACATGTCCATGTGTTTCTGGTATTTGCGACTGTGATGTTTGCACTTGTCATAGTTGCAAAAAGCTTTGTGGACAAACGCCTTGTTTATGCACAAAATGTGATCTTGGTGAGTGTTTTCAGTTCAAATCTGTTTGCTTAAAAAAAAATTTCCTTTAATAATAAAAAAGTTGCATTTAAGTACACCAGAAGGGGGTGGGTTTCAGAAAACTTTTTAGAAGATAAAGAACTATCGTAAATACTGTAATAGTACCCCACCCCCATAATGACGGTGCGGAGTATTGCGTAGTCTAGCTTTGAACGAGTTTTTCTCGACACTGGTTTATGCTACAATGCGCGATTAGGTATCAAAAAATAGCCTTGAAATTCAAGGCTATTTTTTGATACCAAAGACACATTTTTGAAAGTACGGGTGCTTTGAAAAAAATGAAATACTAAAAAACTTTTGCGACTACACGTCTGTACGAGGGGGTGGGGTACTATTACAGTATTTACGGTAGGTAAAGTTTTAAATATGATTAGATATTAAATTCAGACTTTAGTCAAGAAATCCACTGATTGCGAAACGAAATGTGGTAGTGGAAAATGTGCAGAGAAAAATGATTGCACCCAAAAATAAATGAGATGTTTTATTCGCATTTTTATCTTTTTTTTATTCATAATTATTCGCTTCTTCATTTGCTAATGGTTCCGGGAGTTTTCCGGGATTCTCTTGCATCTTGATTGCCCTTAAAATCTCCACATTAATTTGCCATTTTCTATCATCTTCGGCTCGTTTCTGTTCCTCTTCTTTCTCGTGTCGCATCTGCTCGACTCGAAGTTTCCGCTCGGCACTCGAGTACTAAATTTTTGTTTTAAATAAACAATGCATTAGAAGAGACAAATGTAGCAATGTGTGGCATTTATTGATTACCAGTACCAGCTTACCTTATGAAAATCCTTTAAAGCACTTAATAATCATAAGCAATAATCAAAGAGTAAAGTTTTAATTACTCAAGTCTACTCAATATAACTTGAACTGTTTTGTTGCTTTAAGCAGCTCAAAACAGTTCAAAAAATTGCTCGATCACCCACCAGCTCAAGCATTTGCCTATCTTCATACGCTCTTCGACTTTTATCATCGGCTTTCATCCTTGGGCATTTATTCGTCGTCTTCGGATATCGAAGATCCATCCAGTTGTTGAAATTGTGAACTGCTTTAGCATATCTGCAAAGATACTATTGTTATTTCTTTCTTTACATCAGTTTGTGTTCTATTTTCAACCGTTTAATACCACTATATTGGTTTTGAATCGTAATCCAAACCACAAAAACACAAAGCCAACAAGGCAGAAGTCATCAGATTTAAAGTCTTATCCGTTTTTTAAAAGTTATTTTTTGAAATAAATAATAAACCAATCTATGGCTTGTTTTATCGAAAAAAAAAAAGCCCTATTATTTATTTACAAATTGTTCTTTAAGAAATTCTGAAAAGCTTGCGTTAGTTAATTTTTTTTAAAGATGTGAAATCGAGCACAGACAAGACCAATATGAATGAGCATTTTTGAACAAAAAGAGTGTCAAGTCAACTATTGAAATCCTTTCAGTTTAGCGGTTTCAAACCTAGCCAGCACAACTGTACGATCATCTTGATCGGATTGTGCATCTTCTTTCGATTTGAAGCCTGGATGAATCGCAAAAGCTCCGTTCAAGACCTTGAATCGATATCCGGCTCTACACAGCTCCCAACGCTAAAACTTTCCTTTTGGATCATTCATTTAAACAGCTCACTTGATTCGCGTTATCTCTAATTAGATATGGAAATGCCTCATCGTGAAAAGGGATCGTGTTCTGAGCGACAAATTGTGGTTCCCAGGCGGCATCCGAATATCTGAATATTTTTTATCCGAATAGCTTAACAGCTGGTTTTTCTGGTCGCCTAGTTGTTGTCGTCGTGGCGCATTCGGCAACGGGCTTGTCTACTGCCGGCGCGATCCGGGCTCGACCCTCGCAGTGCCACGCAATTGACTTTTTTATTTTAAATGGCACAACTATATAATAGGTTGATGCATAAGTCTTTTCGTTTTTTTCGTACTTCTGTTAAAAAGTAACAAATTCACCAATTAATCTATAGTTTGCTCTATAAAAAAAGTGTTTTTTTGTTCAATTTGCATCTTTTTAAATCAATTTCGGTTCACTTTCAAGCAAATTCGAGAGTGAAAAACGCCTTTTTCGTAAAAATCTATAAAAAACTCTACGGAAAAATTGGCTGAATGCATTTCTCTGAAATTTTGGCGAAATATCAAACTTTTTTTTCTCTATCTTTTATCTATTGACACGAAGATAGGTTTTCTTTAGCTAAGGTGTCTAAACCGCATCATCGAGTTAGCCCTTTTTGACTACCCGACTTCATACTCTCAAGAAAATCCAGGCATAAAATATTTTTAAACCCGTTTTAATGTTATTTTGCAGAAAAATAATTGGTTTTTCTAATGAAATCAACCGTAGTTTAATTCGTGCATTTGTTGGCTTGAAACGGCAGACGAAAAGGAACAAAAAGACTTATGCATCAACCTAATATTTTTAGACTTTAAAAAAAAATTTCTGTTTTTTTGGTCTAAAGACGGCTGAGAAAAAGACCGTACAGACGAACGGACAGACGGACAGACAGACGGACGGACAGACAGAGAGACGGACAGACATAGAGACGGACAGGCAGAGAGACGGACAGGCAGAGAGACGGACAGACAAAGAGACGGACAGACAGAGAGACGGACAGGCAGACAGACGGACAGACAGACGGACGGACAGACAGACGGACGGACAGAAAGACGGACGGACAGACGGACGGACACTGTTCTTTTATATAGATTTTTATGTAGATTGGGAGTTTACAAAATCCTACCGGTATTTCACAGTTCCATTCAAAGTTGTTGTGCCTAGCCACGTTTTCATATCTGAAATTGTGAGGGCAAGGATTGGCCGGAAATTTTTTTCCAAACACCGACTCGGGTAACCATTTTAAAGCATGCCACAGCTACCGTAACCCGTCTCAGATACCGTAGTCGTTTAGTTTTATTAATTTTTGCCATTCCATACCTGGTATCCAGTGAGATTCGGGTGCAGCCTCCTCATGAAATAGCCTCGTCTGCTGAGCGTCGATCGATCCTCTCAACTCTTGCTTGCTCAACGGATACCCCAATCTGAATAGAAACAAAATCAGCTTTGATACAGGAATTGAATTCTAAAACGAATTCTAAAACTAATTCCAAAACTAACTCTTCATCGGGATATCCTTCGAAAATTCGATAAACCAGCAAATCTCTCCTCAAATCGATCAGCCCACTCTCGACGTTTTGCGAGACTGACTCGTCGAAGTTGAACGAAAACATGAATTGCGCGTCGCTCAACGTCATCAAGCGATGCTTTGGAACAAACTGAAACTTGTACAGTTGCTATATTGCTATTAGATCTTTTATCTTTCATCTAAACACTCACAAGTCTTGCCGAATTCCTCAACACATTTATCGGATACCAATTGTCCTCGGTAAGCATTGGCGATTCCGCGAATTCCTCTAGATTCGCATCATCTTTTTGATCGAGTACGTACTTTGGCCTCACCAAGTAATCAGCACAACTGAACAAGTAAAGCTGAGTTTCGATAAAAGATCATGCTTTAATAAAGCCCAGAGCCTTACCAGGAAAGATCGCCAACTTAAGATTGAATTTCAAAATGAAATTCCATATATAACACACATTTCTTGTTGAAAAACAGATATTGGTTAAAGAAAGCTAAAAAATTGTTGTCGAGGGAGTCGAACTTGGACTAATCATTTGGTAACTGAAAGCACTACCACTCGGCTACAGGAACAGCTTTCGTGAGCCAGGCGAGGAAGCCTTACAAAGAGATATCTAAAACTTTAAAGCCAAATTCCTTGCGTTTGCAAGCGATGTAGGAAAAACTAAAAGCGGATTCGGAAAGCCCGTGAAAAACTGAACAAGATAGGAACAAGTCGATTTGAAATTTCACCTTAACTTGGCGACCTAGTCAGAGACGAATGGATAGACTCTGTCGGTCATTCGGACCGAACCGGTAGGTCGATCATTTTTTGATCGATCATCGCTTGTTGGCGGGAACAATCGGTTCCAAACTTCGGGATTTAGCCACAAAAATTAGAGACTTTTTCTGGTTGTTGGATATAAGAACGTATCAATAGTATACTTTGGCTGAAGATGCTATCTGTGGGCTTTTAAAAGCCTGTGAGCTTTAAAAGACTAACATAATGTGAGGTTTGACTAGCCATCGTTAGGTCAGCCTGATTGCAAAGATTCAAACTGTATGGCTGTAGTAACATCATGCAAAACTATATTGGGATCTTTTGAAACGCTCTCTTATCTACAGCTTACCATTACAGCCTCTTTAAGTAATCTGCGATCTGGTTGTCTATCATGGCTAAAAATTTTAATCAGATCTTTTTTTCAGATCAAAGGCTTTTCAAGCCTTAAAAACTCATGATAGCTTTGTAGCTTGTTAGCTAAAATGTAGCCCGTAGATCTTACAAAAATAACCAAAGAATTAAATGGATTTCTTTTCGAAGATCACAAGTAAGATCGAAGTACACAAACGAAACTTCAGCTACACTACTGGACAATGAAATATCATATTTGAAAAAAGATCGTCACTTTCGCGCGTCTGTAACTTCCTTGTCTTTATCGTATTTCTAAATATTAATATTACCATCGTGTAGCCCTTGAAAAGAGCTTTCAGAAAATGTATAGCACTAATAGTTTAAACTCAAAGACAAGGGAGTTACAGACGCGCGAAAGTGACGATCTTTTTTCAAATATGATATTTCATTGTCCAGTACTGTACCTCATCTCCCGCTCCTCAATTGGTATTTGAAAAGTGAAATGCACATCGATATTGTAAATCTCGTGTTTGTAAAGGAGACGATTTATCTGAAAAGAAAAATTTTGCTGATAACAACTCTAGATTTACTTTATTGATTGCCCTTATTTGAAAATCCGTATAGAATTGAGGATCGACCTCAGGATAAAATGCATCAACTAACACGTTTAACACAATAGCACCCATCCATGTAGAGAACTAAAAGTTAAACTTGAAGGTTTTAAGCAAAAAAAAATCTTTCAATCTAAAAGCTATTTGATAGCAGCTATCAAATAGCTTTTAGATTTAAAGGTTTTGCGCGAAAAATCTCTCACTTGTTGCATCATCGACTCATCGACATTGTCGATTGTCGCGTGGAGCACCAGGAAAATTTCGGCAGCACTTTTGAATTGCGAACGGCGTACAAATGGTAAAACACAGTATTCACCATTGTATTGAAGGTTTCTAGAAAATTTAGCAGCTTTATTTCTTTCCGACAGAGTTTAACAATTGATTTAAAGTTTTGCTATAGGACGCTAGTGAAAAGTTGATTTTTCGATTTGTTGATTTGTCGTTGATTTGTCGAGTTGATTTGTCGCAAAGTACCACAACTCGATACAAATTTTCAACTTACGGTTGAACTTGTAGACTCTTTTCTGGCACTCGTGCCCTGCAGCTATATACAGAATAAATGATCGAGCATAGTAATAAAAAGTTGAGGAAAACAAGGAACGCATCATGAGGGGCTTTGTAGCCCTCTCTGATCACCCGACTTGCCCACATCGACACATCTCAAGCGTTCATTGAAGTTTCGAAGTATCGCTAAAGATCAAAAACAAAATTTCTTTATAAATCTTAATTTAAAACAATTCAAGATTTGATTATGTAAGTTTTGGCTGAAAGGATGATCAGCAAAACCAAATTAGGATCAATTCTCATTAAAACCAAATTATCAGCGGGTAATATAATTTTTTTTTTGAAGTTTTATTTAGAAATGATTAAAGTAAATAACAAATGACAAGGAAATGACAATAATTTATCAGATTTTAAAAGATAAAAGCAGTTTTGCAAGTCGTTTTAATGAGGATTTCAGCCAGTTTTTGTTTAACAAGATCTAGAGTTTTTAGTTTTTAGCGTTTTTAGAGTTTTTAGCAAAAATCTTCAATTAAAATTTTAATATTAAACAAGTATCATAAATATAATATTTTCTCAAATCTTGTTTAGCTCAACCCAATTTCTCTTAGGGATCTCGACTCAAAGAAGCGAATTCATCAACATTCTCTGCATCATCGTCGGATGGATGACGATGCAAAGACGACGATGCAAAGACGACGATGCAAAGACGACGATGCAAAGACGACGATGCAAAGACGACGATGCAAAGACGACGATGCAAAGACGACGATGCAAAGACGACGATGCAAAGACGACGATGCAAAGACGACGATGCAAAGACGACGATGCAAAGACGACGATGCAAAGACGACGATGCAAAGACGACGATGCAAAGACGACGATGCAAAGACGACGATGCAAAGACGACGATGCAAAGACGACGATGCAAAGACGACGATGCAAAGACGACGATGCAAAGACGACGATGCAAAGACGACGATGCAAAGACGACGATGCAAAGACGACGATGCAAAGACGACGATGCAAAGACGACGATGCAAAGACGACGATGCAAAGACGATGTGACTGATTTACAAGAGAAAAAAGCTAGCAAAACATTATTTTAATTTTAGTTCTAAAAATAACTTCAATACTAGTTCAAAAGAAAGATTCAAAGATACTTTGTATGCTTTCCAGAAAGTCTTTTCGTTTCTTTTTGTACTTTTGTACTTAAAAAATAACAAATTCACCAATTAACCTACCGTAAATACTGTAATAGTACCCCACCCCCCTCGTAGAGTCGCGTAGTCGCAAAAGTTTTTTAGTATTTCATTTTTTTTCAAAGCACCCGTACTTCCAAAAAATGCATCTTTGGTATCAAAAAATAGCCTTGAATTTCAGCTATTTTTTAATACCTAAGCGCACATTGTAGCATAAACCAGTGTCGAGAAAAACTCGTTCAAAGCTAGACTACTCAACACTCCGCACCGTCATTATGGGGGTGGGGTACTATTACAGTATTGACGGTATGCTTTACTCGCAATAGAACGTTTTTATAACTCAATTTCCATCATTTTTAAGTCAATTTCGGTTCACTTACGAGCAAAATTCGAGAGAGAAAACCATGTTTTTCAAAAAAAAAAAATCGATAAAAATCTCTACAAAGAAATTGGCTGAATGAATTTCTCTGAAAATTTGGCTATACACCAAACTTTTTGTGCTCTATCTTGTTTATTTATTGACACGAAGCTTGATTTCCTAAAGCCTATGCTTTACTCGAAATAAAAAGTGTTTATTACTCAATTTCTATCTTTTCCATCTTTTCCATCTAAAGTATCTTAGCATCATCGATCCGTCACCCTTTTTGCCTAGCCGACTTCAAGCTCTCAAAAAAAGCCCAAAAATAACACACTTTTTAAATCCATTTTAATGTTATTTTGCAGAAAAATAATTGGCCTTTCGAATGAAATAGTTCAATTGGATGGATACATTCAATTTGAGGAAACAAAACATGCTTTAATTGATGCATTTGTTGGTTTTAAACAGAAATAAAAAAGAACGAAAAGACTTTCTGGAAAGTCTAATAATTCTAATAATTCAAACACATCCTTAAATTAAACAATTGAAGATTTGATTTAAATCGATCGTTCAAAGCAAGTCCAAAAAGAATAGTGTACAATGTGTCTTGGGGACACTGTTTTTTGTTTGTTGCAATAGGCGACACGAGGCGAATTTTTGAGTTTCTTGTGGAGATGAAAGACGAGCGTTTCAGGAGAATGAATTCCCGATTTCACACAAAGAAAACAATGGATACAGTGACGGCAATGACCCAGGAAGAAAAAAAAAGAGACAAGGGCATTCCCATTTGACAAGAATGCAATCGTGTTTCCCCATGGATTTGTTGAAAATTATTATTTTAAAATTCTACCCAAAAACTCAGTAACCTAGTTGTTGTTTTTGAGAATTGAATTTGATTCTAATTCTTAAAGATAACCATTAGTCAGTAAATTTTTGAAAATCAGTGGAAATTAGAGTTTCTAGGAGTGGTAAATTGATTTATCCAGAAAATTTTACAAGTAAACTTTTGGAAGAAGGGGGAAAAAAGTCCAGAATCTGGATTATTTTGTGTAGATTTTAGACTAAAGATAGTATCTAATGTAGTTATGAAAAATTTGGAGCAAAATATCTAACAACAAGATCTTACAATAGATTGTGCGACATTTGATATGTTTGCCAGCCCCTTTGCCATTGACATCATTGACAATCCAACTTTAAGCCCAAATTTCTTGGTGTTCGGCTTTTCAATTGAAATAGTTTTTGGACCAATCGACAGAGAAAGACTTGGCGTATCTAATGAAAACAATAGTTTCTAAATTGAACAGCCGAACATCAAGAAATTTGAGCTCAAAGTTAGATTGCTAATAGGAAAAGGAGCGGGATCAGATGTCCGATAATCCTTACAAAATGGCAAGATCATCTCAAGCTTACTATCATGAATCAAGACTTTCAAAGAGACACCAAAAATCTTTGCTTCATTAAAAATGCGGAACTCTGGGGTTTACATTGAATGGAAAGAAACTCGAGGACGCAGCTTTGATCTTGAATTGACATCTTGTCCCAAAAGAAAAACCCTTTTCAAATCTCATCACTAAATTTTCAGGTACAAACAATGATTCCAGTGGCTTTTTTTTCAGAATAAAGGTGTGTTAATAATTTAATATTCTGGTTTATATAATATTCTGGTTGAAAAGATGCTTTGTACAAATCACAAATCATAGAATTCCTTTGTCCAAAAGCAATTGTACAATTGTTAATTGTACAATATCACTTAAACCAATGCTAAAAGCAAAAAAATCTACGCATTTACCTAAATATCTATTGACTTTTGTGATGAAAAATTGCAATAAAAGTCTCTTTTTCCAAATCCAAAGATCAACCGATTCAAACGATGATGAAAGAGGCTTCCTTCCAAAAAAAGAGAGTACATTTTTCTCCGTTGGTTTATTTGCTTTGACCCCCAGAGTTGGAAGCACAGTGCTCGATCACTTTGTGTGTGCAAAACAGCAACGTTTTTTCCTTTGACTTCTCTTGTCGGTGACTCACAGTGCTAGTCAAATCGAGGAACCGGGTTTTTTTTTTCGAAAATCATCGTCGTCGTTGCTGCGGTGTTCGGCTAGAAAACACAAAGCCAGCAAATGCAAATAAATCTTTTGGGAATACGAATTTGTGATTTCATCATCAAATTCAAAATCTTGACAAAGAAGAAAAAGCTTTTGCTTTTGATTGTCGAAAAATTTGAAGAATTAACAGCTAGCAAAGTGCTAGCAAACTACTAGCAAAGTGTACAGGGTGGCGCACAATTACCCGCACTCAGCTCAGTTTCTCCAGCTTAGCGAAGAGTCGATCAATCGACATAATTCTTTTTTTTATTATCAAATTGAATATTTCTCCTGCAATGTGTTTCCTGGATTTGATCAGAAAAGTTTCTAAACTTTGGCTAGAGCGCTGCAAAGTTGCGACACGTGCTTCCTGCGGCGGAATCGCGATTTTCTGGCTTTTGTAACTAGTTTCAATGGCTCAAAATCAAAGAAAACTAGCTTCATTTACTCTTTTTTACTTATTATTTCTAAAATCTAGCTCATTTTTACTAAAAAACAATGAATTTCGGTTAGGTATCAATGAAAATGTGAATTTTAATTGAGAGCTGGTAATTGTGCACCACCATGTATCGTCTGGTCTCCACATACACAAGTGCAGATTTCTCGTCTAGATAAAATCCAGCAGATATTTACTAAGATAGCTCTAGCACAACCCTGTACACATCAACAAAATTGAAACTTACTTTATAGAAAAGGTTGAACTTTTCAAATATAGATTTGCAAAGTAAAAGAGAAGAGTAACTATTGGATTTGTCTTAGTCTTGAATCTTGAACCTAGATTGGTCCATAGAGTTCAGTCCAGATCAGGCAAGGTTTGAAGCCAGGCTAGGACTGCAGGCCTGGTAACCAACATTTCTAGCTTCTTCCAGAAGCCAAACTTAGACCTGAATGGCTTTTGATACACGTATTTTAAAACCTTTAGATTTAAAAGCTTTTAAATCTCTCACTTATCGCAACAGAATCGATTCGAATAGAATATTTCATGAGAAAATGGCCATCGAGTGCATCAGGAGGTTCTAGTAAATTTCTAGCAAATCCCTAAAGTTTTAGATATTCAATGTGACCCCTTTCCATCCTTATACAAAAATAAAAGGAGGACTGAGTCCTTTGTACAACTATGACTCAATCCCCTTTTATTCCCAACGAGTCAACAAGCGTTTTTCTTTTTCGAAAGTCATCGTATTTTACCAGCCTCCTTTTCTGACTCAATCCCTATTATACGAGCCATTACTTTACGGTAGATAACCTTCATTATGCTTTTTTTTGATTCCGATTAACGCCCACCTGTGGACTATTTTAGAGAAGCTTTAGAAGTGATCGTTGAATCGACAAACAAAAATCTATTTAAACGGGCGACAAGTTAGACAAGAGAAAGTAAACAAATCGAGAAATTTGCAGAGGGTGGGTGGATGGTAATTTTGACCGCTGCAAAAACCTTTTTATAGGACTGTCATTGGTCTTGAAGCATTTAGAAGGAAATCTATATTTTATCGATATCAAAACAAATCAAATCTATATTTATTGATAATTTAGAATTGCGCAAACTGTTTGAAGTCCAGGAAAGTGATCCCATTGATTTTAAGCCGTTTTTCAACTTAATAAATTTCAAATTTAAATGCATTTTGTTGAGCATTACAAGCGCCATTCGAAACTTTGATGAATGCTGATAAATCAGTACTTTCCCTGATATTGATATTTTCAGATTCATTTTTACGAGCTATGATGTTTTGAAGAGTACAGGAGCAATGCCATAAATCTAAGCCATCCTTCCTTTTTATTGGATTTCGTTGAGCAAGCGGGTTACAGTAATCTTTTCCGGGAGCCGCCCTTCCGGCTTATCCGATCTGTTTTTGAGATTGCTGAGAAATCAAAGCAGTGAAACCGTTTTCATCGATGATCTCAATATCTTTTAAATCTCAATATCTTTTAAAACTGTTTATCAATGCAATAAAACAAATCAGAATGCTCACAAAGCTCTGTTATCTGAAAAATCGATCTTAAAAAGTTGTTTACCGATTTTCTTAAAGAGATATTTCTGGTTCATTTGTTTGGTAATAGCTGTGACTTTCATCATATAATGATAAGTTTATGCTGTGAACAGATGAAATCAAATAATAGCAAGAATACTATAAGACTACGAATTCCATTTCACTGAGCTTTTCAATGCGGTGAAAAGTTTTCAGCAGAACACCAGATCACAAAAGGGAAGGCTTTTCACCGAATTCATTCGCTTTGTTCGCCGAGCTGTGCAAGCGAAAAAAGAGAAATTTCAGAGCTAAATTATTGAATTGAGAAAATAAAGAGGTTTTAGCTTTGCCAATTTGCAGAAAGATCAGAGATTAGGCGAATAAAACGATCACATTTGCGCATCAAGCCATTCAGATCAGAGGATTGCTGCAAGTTCAACAATTTTGCTCTGAAAATATCTTTTAAAATGTTTTTCAAGAGTTGAACGCTTGTTTATTTGTCAGTTTGGTCAATTTAAATCAAAAATTGAAATGAATCTTGTCTTAGAAATGAAACTTTCTAAAATTATCAATCAATTCCAAAATTTCTCCTCACTAGCTTATAGTTTTTTTCGAAAAACGAAAAATTTATTTTTTTTTATCGGCAATGATTCTTTTTCTGCTCAGCTATTCAAATCCAAAGAATTCTCACCCCAAAAATAAAGATCGAAACCAAAAATTACGCCTGAATTGATTCTTCTGAGTCATCCACTTGAATAATAAAATTAGATTGAAGCTTTTTCTGCAGAAATGAACAAGACTATAAGCTAGTGAGCTTTATCTTTTTAAAATTAAAGATCTAATTATTGAGAAAAAAAGCCAATCTTTCTAAAGCCAAAGCTAAATTTTATCCTTTGTCCCTTTTCCCAGTCAAAGTCCATCTCCCAACTCCATACCGAAAATCTTCCGTGTTCTTTCACGTAGACCCATTAAAATCATTCTCCAAGGCTTTTCCCCTTTTTCTCATCTCTTTTTCTACTTCTCTTTCGATCATAAATCAGAGCCGCAAAACATTTCGTCATCCCATTTTACAAAGGAAAAGAGAAAACGTTCAAACTCCAATCGCACACAAATTCTTTGCGAATTGGGGATTGTGAAATGTTCTTATCGGACAGAAAAATCGTTCTCTGATTATGGTTATTAAGTAGAGAATTGTCTCATTGAAGCTAACTGTTAGTGTTTTTATTTTTGGAGGTTCGACTTCAAAGTAAGTCTTGTCTTGAAAATCTCTGCTCCATCCAAATCACTGTTCAATTGGTTAATCAAACTAACGAGCAAACTATAAACCTGCTTTTTCTGAGCGATCCGCTTGAAATTAAACTTGGAGGTAGGGGTATTAGGGATAAGAGCTGCTTTAAAATCGATTTGAAACTGAGCTGGGTCTGCTGGTCGATCCTAGTTTTAAAACATCTCCAATTCCATCCATTTACCAAACTCTTTACCCTCAATTTCCACCAAGCTTGGGTGAGCTCTATGACTTCTAAGCTAAGTTAAAGCTGGGCCCAGCCAAAAGTCAGATTTAGGCTTGTCTTCTGGTCAAGTCATTGTAGGTCAGGCTAGGATAGGCCAGCAGGGTCATGCAAGGCTAGAAGCTAAACCTAGTTTCATAGCAGTCCCAATAGCAGACAACTCAACCCATCGACTCACCGTAACCTTTCTCAAATTGCTCTGAAAGTCCAGAGTCTTTACCTATGAAAATCAAATCAAAATCAATTGTCGTAGGTGCTTTTGAAGTTAACGACCAATTTGACGCTTTATACGCGGTTTTTGTTTGAGTCCAACTTCTGAATCATCCCTCAAAATAGGCTGATATGTTGACATAAAATTTTTAAAACCTTTTTCACTCTCCGAAACGGAGACGAGACGACGATAGAATCTAGGAGAGAAAAGACAGGAAATGACAAATCAGAGAAAAGAACAGAAAATGAATACCCCTTTTTTGGAATCACCTATTTAAAGGAGAGATCAACCTGGGTGCTCTGCTCTGCACTTCTTCTTTTTCTTCTTATCACAAGCAAACAAGTCAACTCATAGACTTCATTCAGCCAACTGAATTCATATGACCCCGTTTGCAGAGGGAAGTGTTTTTCGTCTTTCAGTGATCGTTTACTCTAACCGTTTTCAGTATTCAGCTTCAAATTCATTATTATTATTCAGTAGCTTTAAGAAAAACCTTCCTCAATGTCAACTTTGCCACTTTGCCTACTGTTTTTGATTTGAATCTGTTATTTATTGATAACTACTCTAAATCTAAAGCTTTATATTTAAAAATTCACTCCTTTTTGGTAACAATTGTTTGCTAAACTTGCTCATTGTTAAGATAAATGTTTGAAGATAAATTTTGGGATAGTCTATAACTAAAGAAAAGCTAGAGAATTAGACTTTCTTCAAGCTTTGCTTAACCATGCTCTTTTTATGCTTACTTTTTTTGCTTAACCATGCTTAACCAAGCATGCTTAAGCAAAGCTTGAAGAAAGTCTAGTTCTCTAGCTTTTCTTTAGTTATAGACTATCACAAACTCCAGCATATTCTTCATTTTGAACAAATTTGTAAATGAAAAATGTCAGAGTCGCTTATTGAATTGAAATAGAGAAATCTGAACCTTATCCATGCTTTTATTTGTCACAAATGTCGCAAATTGTTTGACATCTCGTCACCCAACTTCCCCAGAGTCACCTTTGATCGAATCCCCTGATGAAACATCACATTCTAGAAGCTCCAAACCCTTTTATTTAGCTCTTTGACTATTTTCTCCATTTTTTCCTCTATTTTGCACAAATTTGCAGAAAGCAGAAAGTTTTGCATCATTCGTGATGAGTCACCCATCCCATTTTCACCTTTTCCCCCGTCCACTTGGCTCCCTTGTAAACCGCAAAACAATTCTTTCACTCTCAAAATATTTGCTTTGCTTGATCTTAAATCAATTTCCCAATGTTTACATGGAAATTGAATAGCCGAATCCAATTCGAATCATTTCATGAATTTGTTTCAATTTGATCTTGGGCTAAATTTCAAATATTTATCTAACTCTTGACATCGATCTCGAACCTCTAGTCAATGCAAAACTCAAGTCACTTTTCTCGACACTCACTTTTTGACCTCGTCTTGATCTTTATAAACAAAGAGGGCACTTCAAAAAGCGAAATTTTTTTAACGTGTGAACGCTCAATCAAAGACTAATTGCGGATCTCACTCTTTTACGACGATTTATACCGCTTTTTACAGGCCACCTCAATATTTGTCGATTGCTCATCGGGAGAAAACGCGAAAAAGAATAAAAGAATCTTCTCTACAAAATTTTCTGAATGGGCGCCGTGACTCCGCCCCATTTTTCGAGCGATGAGGCAATCGCTGACCCATCGCATTCCGCCTCTTTCACTCACTTCGTGAAACTTCTGAGACGACGAAGCACTACGAATTGTCACCATTCTTTCCATTTCTAGATAGACTCTAGATCGGTTCTGGGACTTTTAAGAATGAAGTTTCGAATATCTAAACAAGCTCTTGTTTGCCTGGATAGTTTCTATTCTGGGAACTTTACCCACTATAGACTTCAGCTTCACTACTATCGTACTACAGTGTACATAAAGTACTAAGTACGGCAGGATTGTAGCTATTGAGTACTGTAGTAGAAGCAACCCAGATCTAGCACTTATTTCAGCTCTTCAAACCTCTACCTAACCGATGAGACCTACTCTATTGAAGTTCGACTAGTCTCTCGTAAATGTAATTGACTGGACATTGGGCCAGTACATAATGCTGTATGCTGAGTCCTACTACAATGCTATCCTAAAATAGAAGTCAACCCAACTGCCCAAACACCTTTCCCTTATTGTTAGCTAGCTTTTCTCGTCCCTCACCCCTAGAATTGTCATCATTTGACCCATTCCTTCCAAAAAAATTTGTCTTTGAGCTTTTCAATTCCATTCTCAATGGTTCCGTCTTTCCTTTATCTAATCAACATTTTTCAATTCCGCAATCACATCATTTTACTCTCAACTTTCGTAACTTGCTGATTAAATTCCTCTCTTGTAATATAAATTCTAGTAGCTATGAGATTACCAGTGGTTTTTTTGCCATTTTCCAAAAAAATGTTCACTACTTCTTTAAGCCCAAAGTTCAGCTGTGTTGTGTCTTTACAGTGAGCCATGGAAACCGGGCCTTTTGTTTCACAAAAGTGAGCAATTGCAGGTGAAAAATGATTTGCGGATAAACAGGTTAAAACCGGGTCCCCGCCTTGGTCCCCAGGCTTATATAAGCTCAAGATTTTATAGAAAATTTGCATATTCAAATCTTTAGGGTATTCATTGCCAAAAATTGTAACCTTTTTCTACAAAATTCTCATTGCAAAAGCTTTTTCGATGGCATTTACTTCAAAATCAGCTTTTATCAGCTTTACACTCTCGTTTTTTCCTACTGTTTAACACAAACCCCAGCCAGTTTCGAAACACCAAGATATAAGAGTTTTTCTAGTTTTTAGTCTCTTTTTAGTCTCTCGCCTTCCCCCTTTCCCCATCCCTTTTGACTCGTTTTGACCAGAAACTTTCTTCGAAAATCTCTCTTTACTCTCAGTCTTTGATCAATCTATTTGCAATCATTTTGCACCCGAAAAATCCCCCCGAAAATGTTTTGCATATAAAGCCACTTTTAATTTGTAAAAATTTTCATCATCTTTCCGTCATCCTCTTTCATTTTTCCTTCCACGTGAAAAGCCATTATTCCTTTTTTTTCTCCTGGATCTGCTCCTATAAATTTTGCACTTTTTGCATTTCCTTTTTAACCCATTCTTTCTTGAAACTCAAAACTAAGTAACTTTGTACATTTCTTTGTTTTTTTTTGTTAAACTTAATAAAAGCTACAGTACCGTCATCTGATTTAACTTGTCTCAACTCTAAATCAAAGACTTTCACTTTCACTTTCACTTTCAAAAATTTTCTCTTTTTAACTTTTAGCAAATTCATTTCCAATTTATTCATTAATTATCCATTTTCAGAAACCCCACTACTTTATCACTAAGAAAATGATCGTCGATCCGCCAATGCCCGATCGTCCCGAGGATCTCGACATGTACTACAGAAGAACACCAATCTTCCACAAATTCGATCTGCGCTTTCTGAACACCAGAATACAAAACACAACCGCCGAACCGTCGTTTACAGGTGATTATTGTGAAAAAGAAAAGCGTTATGGGTTCAAATGGCTGCTGTAAGACTAGTAGTAGGGTGCTAAATGGAAACATAAGCTTTCTACGGCACTGATCAGTTTAAAGCTTAAAGTGTATAAGTGTAAATTGAGAAAGTGTACAAGAAAGGATTTAAAATACGAATACAAAGATAGAAATTGGTAGATTTCGTTGAAAAAGAAACTTACAAAGCAATCTATTTACATAAACGATTCTCTAGCTTAGCCTAAAATGCCTTTTTTAAGATCTCTGGTCACATTCTCCTCAAATTCATTCAATCGTTTCCACTCTTTCAATAAATCATTTATTTTATTACAGATCGTTTCCGGCTTTCCGTTCAAAGTTTTATGCCTTCAAAACCGGATTCTCTAATGAATCGCCTTCGCGACTCCACCCAGCATTTCTTCAGTCAGCAATTGATACGAGCCACCGTATTCCAGCACACATTCAGCCGGATATTCACGCAACAAATGCTGAATTTCACGTAATAAAAACCCATTTTTCTATTTATCCTAGTTTCGTTAGTTCTTTTTTTTTTGTGTGCAAATACCCATGTCTTACGCGTTTTTTTGTCTTTTTTTTTATTACGAGCTTCAAACTCTGATCTCACTTGCTTTTTCCGGGGCTTTACTTGACATAATCATCTCATTTTCACAAAATCTCGCATTATTTGCAATTTCTTTCATTCATTTTTTTCCCAATTTGTGCCAATTGATCCAAATAGTGCGGGTTAATCTATCATTTTTGCATTTCATTACAATTTTTCTTAATCTTTTTTTTGTTGGGAGCTTTATAAACCTTTATTCATTGCACCTGTTTGTAAATATAAAGGCCAAAGTTTTAAAGTTGAAAAAAGTTTTAAATAAAAAGTTTTTTGATTGGTTTTAGTGAACAAAGAGCAAAATATTTGATTAATTAAAGGTCAACTTTTAGGAAAAAAATTGAAGATTATAGTTTCTGGTTTCTGAAAATCAAAATGATCTTTGACTTGCTTGATCGGTCTTTTTTCTTAAAAGTTAACAATGGTACTTTGTTTATTGTAAACTCCAAATTCCAAAAAAATCTTTGACTTACTTGGCGAACTTTTCAGATACAAAGATCAATACAAAAGTAAAGAATAAGTATTGTGTAAGGTTTTCAAGTACCGTAAAAACTCTAATAGGACAGCTCCCTATAGGAGCGTCGCGTAGTCTAAGTTTACTCTCAAACAAACGCTCAAATCTCGACATCGGTACGTTTGTTTCTGTGCGCTTTGGTATCAAATTAAAGTAGAGAGAATGGGTGATTTTTTGAGATATAACACATATTTTTAACTTTAACCAGTGCTTAGAAAAACTGACTGAAAAGTAACAAAAAAAAGAGCGAATTTTCGCCGATTTTCAATCATTTTTTCTAAGCACTGGTTAAAGTTAAAAATTTGTGGTATATCTCAAAAAATCACCCATTCTCTCTACTTTAATTTGATACCAAAGCGCACAGAAACAAACGTACCGATGTCGAGATTTGAGCGTTTGTTTGAGAGTAAACTTAGACTACGTGACGCTCCTATAGGGAGCTCTCCTATTAGAGTTTTTACGGTACTTGAAAAACCGCTCTATAGTACGTCTAGATGAAAAATATTCGCCGATAACTTTGAATGTTTTTGTTTCAACTAAAAATTAGAAAATTCAACATTAACTCAGTGGAAAATTAGTGAAAAATGACTCTAACGACTTTACTGTACAGGGTGCGGCATAAGTATGGTAACTTACAAGGTTGTAACATTGATTTAAGAAACTGATTGATTTTTATTTCTTGCCAAAGGATTATTTTTTCTTAATTTGAATGCTTTTTTATATTATGTAGCAGTTTTTAAGCAAATTTTTAGGTTTGGACATAATGGTGAAGGCTTCTTCCAACCGTGCCGCTATTCTTCAGCTTGGAGCACAAGGACGATCAACTTCGGATTTTGCCAAACTGCTGAAAATGCATCGAATGACGGTATACCGCATTCTGCAACAAAATAGAGTGGAAGAGCTTCCTAAAACTGGGCGTCCGCCAAAAATTGATCACACGAGACTCAAGAAAATCATTAAGAAACGAATCAAGCGCAATACTGCCCGGAGCATGAGAAAAATGGCTCCCCAATTGAATGTTTCTGATAGAACTATCCGTCGTATCGTCAAAAAGGATTTGGGTCTTCACCCTTACAAGTTAAGGAAGCATAACGACGGATCTTCAAATGAGAAACAGGAAGCAAAAATGTGCTCTTTTTCTTGCAAGGGCCGCAAATGATGAGCATCTGACGACGCTTTTTACCGACGAGGAATTATTCAACATTGAGCAAGTTTTCAACTCTCAAAATGATCGAATTTTGGCTCACAGCCCTCAAGAAGCAAATAAAAGTGGCCGTTTTGTGGACAGGAACTGACATCCAGCAGGAGTCATGTTTTTTGCAGGGGTGTCAGCAACTGGTCGCACGCCGTTGATTTTCGTTGATAAAGGGCTGGGAATTAACACAGACGTGTATCTGGACGTTCTCACAAAACATATACAGCGGTGGAGTCAAGGACATTATCAAAATCAGCGCTGGACGTTGATGCAAGACGGCGCCCCAGCGCACAAAGCAAAAAAGTCTCAAGAGTGGAGTCGAAACAATTTGCCCGACTTCATTCCCGCCAATGAATGGCCAGCTAATTCGCCCGATCTCGATGTTATGGATTTCTGTGTTTGGGCAATTTTGGAGCAAAAAGCACGCACAACAAAACATGCAAACGTTGAAAGTCTGAAAAAGGCTCTGAAGAAAGCCTGGGCGGAAATTCCACAAAGTACCCTGCGGGCCGCCGTGGAAAGTTATCCAAAGCGTCTTAAAGCCGTTATCAAGAATAAAGTGCCCATATCGAATAATTTGTTATTTTTTACATGAATATGATTACTCTTGTTCATTTTAAATAAAGTTTACATGAATCCGTTCATATTTCATTACGATACACGGTTCTGAGTCTGTAACCATACTTATGCCGCACCCTGTACTGTTCACTCACAAAACTTCATCAGAAATAGAAAAATGTTCTTTTATATGATTCTTTCGTAATTCCAGCTTTTCTACGATCCTTTCATTGATTCAATTTACTTTTTTTGAAACTTAACAATAAACTTTTGCATAAAGCTTGCATTCTTTCTTCTAAGGCTTCATGCTTAAGCAATATGATAGATTCAATTCGAATCTATTAGGTTGTTCAGATATAAACAAGCGTTGCTAAACTTATTGTTGTGAGAGAAGCTTTTAAAACATGTCTTTCTGTATTTAAAAAGTACGTTATTTTGTGCATATTTGGAATCTCTTTAACGGATAATTTCTTATTTTTAAGATCTTTTTTCTTGCTTTAGATGACCGACTTCAAATATATCAATTCTGCCTACTTTACGACTTCAAACGGGGCAAACCAGTAGCGGAATCCCATTGAGATTTGGTCAAAGCATTTGGGAATGATGTTTTCTTTTCTGTTTTGTCCGAAAGCCGATGCCGAGCCTGGTTCCAACGCTTTCGAAACGGTGATGAAAGACTCGAGGATCATGAACACTCTCGTCGACCTCAAGTGGTAGACAACGATATTTTGAGGGCTGCGATCGAATCGGATCCATGTCAAACGACGCGTGAACTTGCTCAACAGTTTCTATGTTCTTAAATAAACAATTTCTCTTGTTCAAGATTGATTTAATTTGCATTTAAACCAACCTCACCTTTTTGTTAACAATCTTTATTCCGAGCCACGCCCGCTTCTTTCAACAATCATTTCCTAGAATGCCATATAAAAAAAATTCAACAAAAATCATCAGACAGAGAAAAGACAATGCAAATTTTATCAATCAACAGTAAAGCTGACCTGTATCAAGTAGGTTTTGGGTAAATATCACAGAACAATTCGAACAAAATAAGTACCTATGCGAGTTACCAGATTCACGGAAATCTGATCTCCATCCTAGACGAAAACAAAAATTGTTTAAAGCCGTATTTTCTTTTTCTTGAGATCAAAAACAACAGTATGCAAAACTCCACACAAAATATGGAGATCAAAGAGGTGAGAAAGTTTAGGGGGAAATTTGAATAACCTAGATTTATTATGGCCGGGGAACGGTCAGCGGAACGAGTGAGGAGAGGCACCGGAACAAGGGTGAATCGAGGGAATCAAAAATCCTAGTTTTACTTTCTAGTGCTAGACTAGAAGCTTTGATGATAGTTGCGTTGAGAAAAGCGACATTTTCTTCACCATTGAGTGCATTGTTGAAGATTTGGTTTGGGTAACTGGACGAAGACAGCGTTGAGCCTCGTGCGAGCACTTGGCTTGTCGGACAGCCAGAGAGATATCTGAAATTTGGGAAATTAGGAAGTAAAGAGAAGGTTGAAGTGTTTTTATGTATCTAACACCGTAGTATTCATATTACCGTATTATGTCCATTAAAATGGACCTGGACTTGAAACTAGACCTGTGTCTGGACATGGACTTGGATCTGGACCTACGTCTGGATCTGGACTGGACCTGGACCTGTGTCTGGACCTGGACTTGGATCTGGACTTGGGTCTGGACCATGAGAATCTACAGATCTCAAGGTAGGTTTCAAGAACTTCTTGAGTTATAGCCCTAAACCCAAGCTTAACTAGAAAAGCTGACCATTAGGACCTGACGCTAAAGGACGGGCCGCTTCAAATGCTCAAACTCAACCCTTTCAGTACTTGGCTTATCCTACTTAACCTACTTTTAAGTCTGCCTATCTACTACCTCCAAGCTGCTTTAAGTCAATCTTTTTAATCTAACCTCAAAAAAAACTCACCAATTTTGCTTTCTGGCAATTTGGTCATTGTTAATCCCAAACTGGGAAGTGTCGTCAACGACTTGGGTAACAAGGTAGCCGAGTAAACGGAGAAAAGTGGCCTTGCCGGCTTTGACAGTAACAAATCCGCCTCATCGGGCATCGGGAATTCGGGAATCATTTCTAATAGAGAAGATTCAGTGTTTAGCCGCCGCCCTTTGGAAGAGCTGCGGGAAAAGTGGCGATCAGGGGCGGAGTTCTCTTCACATGAAGCCATCCCACACAGAGGGGCGGGTCAAATGGGAAAAGAGATTGGAGAACACAGCACACACAAATTGCATCCACTTGTAAGCATGCTTTTTCTTTTTTTTCTTTTCATAACTCACTCAAAAATTTGTGCAGCTGAAAGGTGATTGGAGAAAGGAATTTGTGATCTTTAGGATCCGGGATTACGTAAAGGCATATTTGTCTTTTATATTGAACTTTTCGAAAAAGTTAGTTACAAGCTACACTACACATGCGACAATGAAATATCATATTTGAAAAAAGATCGTCACTTTCGCGCGTCTGTAACTCCCTTGTCTTTACCGTATTTCTAAATATTAATATTACCATTGTGTAGCGCTTGAAAAGAGCTTTTAGAAAATGCATAGCACTAATAGTTTAAACTCAAAGACAAGGGAGTTATAGACGC